GGTTGCTCAAAGGTTTGAACTTAATTTAGTAGTGCCCAAACAAGGCAGGATGGATTCTGCACATGGGTCTTCTAGTCATTGACGACAGCGCGCTCCGGAGTCTCAGTGAGAAGTTACGCCCAGGAAATTTTATATCGTGCTCGGTGAAAATTGACGTCCGACATGTTGCACATCATGGGCAATACCAGGACTATAAAGCGGATGAAGTTATTCCCAAAGACAATAACACATTCGGGCCGTAGCTCGCTCCTCAGACTCGCCGCCACCGACCAGGTGCGCCAGCCTGGTCCACCAGCTCGTCCCATCCTCTCCCTCGACCACGCCACCGCTCGACGCCGTCACGGCGACAGAGATCGAGCCCGTCGTCGTGCCGGCGTCGAGCGGTGGCGTGGTCGAGGGAGAGGATGGGACGAGCTGGTGGACCTGGCTGGCGCACCTGGTCGGTGGCGGCGAGTCTGAGGAGCGAGCGAGCGGCGGAACGAGCTGGCTCGGCTGGCTCGCGCTCCCTTCCTTCCTCTCGCCCTCGGTCCCGCCGACCTCGCGCACCGAGACGGCAGCGAGCAGGTTGAGGCGCGTGCCTCGGTCGGCGGGCGGCGAGTCGACCGCGAGGCTGTCGGTCTTTCACTTTGACGAGGTGGGTACGGCGAGGAGGGCGTTCGTTGCGAGCAGAGCATGAGGAGCGCCGTCCTACGTTGCTCGAAGCCCTCTTGAGAGTCTGTATTTGTCGTTCCGACCAATGTCCAGCGAGGCGAGAGCGACAGTGAGCCTGCGAGAGAAGGAAAGCTTCGAAGCTGACGAGGTCGCTCGAGCCTCTCGCGCTCAGCCGCCTTTCAGCGCGTGGCCCCCTTCTGCCTTGATGCGTTCGAGAGTGTCGCGATACACAGAGAGTGCTCTCGACCCGCACGAAGCGCACGAGGGACGCACAGGACGATCCTCTCGAAAGCGACCTTCTCAAGTCGAGCGGTCGCCTGCTCCTCCGTCCGCGCACGACTCTCGCTGCTCCGCCCGTGACTCTGCGCTCTGCGAAAGCGCCGACTTGGCCCATGCACGAGCTTGGCCGAGCAGCTCGGCCTTTTGCTCAAGCGCTGCCCACTGTGAAGAGAGGCGCGAGGAGGAGGGGAACGAGCGGGAGCATTTCGCGCGCGAGAGCAAGGCGAGCGAGGGGGTGGAGGCCGGGCAGAAAAGAGCTGCGAGTGATGCAAGCTCTGTGTGCCCTTGCTCGCAGGAAGGCGAAGAGGGTGCGGACGCCCGCGTGGGCGGCGAGCGCGCCGACGGGCCGGCCAGACTCGCAAGGCGCAACGCTCGCTGCTCCTTCCCTCTCCCTCCTTCCTCTCACTCCCTCGCACCCCGTCCGAGTAAACTTATCCAGGTGCGTCCTCGCTCCTCGGCTCTCGCAACTGTGCAAGGCCCTGATCTTGTTCCCCCCTCCCTCTCTTCCCTCGTCTCCCCCCACCCTTCCTGCGTGTCGTCACCGCTCGATCCAATTCCACCATCCTGCGTCCGGTCAATTGGCGCACCCTCCTGGCCACCTCTTCCTGCTCCCCCTACCACCACGCCCTGCCCTGCGACCCGCACCAAATTGCCCGCGCCCGCCGACCTCGACTTTCGACGACGATCGCACCTCATCACCTCCCTCGTCACCCTCCCTCTCCTCCCGCCCACAGCAATCATGGTCCAGACTGTCCCCACGTTCAAGCTTTCGACTGGCGCAGAGTTCCCGCTCCTCGGCTTCGGTGCGCCCCCCTTTCTCTCCACCCTCCCCGGCGACCCACGCGGCTGACCCCCACGTCACGACGCAGGCACCTGGCAGGCGCCCGACGAGGAGGTCAAGAAGGCCGTCGCTGTCGCTCTCAAGGCCGGCTACCGCCACCTCGACCTCGCCAAGGTGCGTCCGCTCGCCTCCTCCTCTTGAGCGCGTCGTACTGACCCTCGACCTCTTCCTCGACTCAGGTGTACCAGAACCAGAAGGCCATCGCTCCCGCCATCGCCGACTCGGGCGTTCCGCGCAGCGAGATCTTCATTACCAGCAAGCTTTGGTGCAGTCAGCACAACCCGAGCCTCGTTGAGGCGGCGCTTGACGACACGCTCAAGGAGCTCGGCCTCGAGTACCTCGACCTGTACCTCATCCACTGGCCCGTCGCGTTCGCGGCCGAGGGCAACCCGCACGACAACCTGTTCCCCAAGGAGAACGGCGAGGTCAAGATCGACACGTCCGTCTCGGTCGTCGACACCTGGAAGGCCATGATCAAGCTCCTCGACACGGGCAAGACCAAGGCCATCGGTGTCTCCAACTTCTCGATCGAGGCTGTGCGTCCCTGCCTTCTTTCTCTCTCTCGTGCGACGGGTCCTCGTGCGACGAGTCGTCGCGATCCGCGAGCGACGACTGACCTTCTCAAACTCGCCCTCGCACAGATTGACGCCATCACCAAGGCGACCGGCGTCGCCCCGGCCGTCCACCAGGTCGAGCGCCACCCGCGCCTCCTCCAGCGCGAGCTCATCAAGCACCACAAGGCCAACAACATGTCCGTTACGCTCCCTCCTCCTTGTTCGACGCGTTCCTGACCCTCGAGCTCTCTCTTTCTCTCGCAGCGCCCTCACCGCCTACTCTGGCTTTGGCAACAACAACATCGGCGAGCCGCTCCTCCTCACCCACCCGACCGTCAAGAAGATCGCCGAGCAGAAGGGCGCCGACGCCGGTCAGGTCCTCATCGCGTGGGGCATGCACGGCGGCCACGCCATCATCCCCAAGAGTGTCACCGAGTCGCGGTCCGTCTCTCTCTCCCCCTCGTGCGTCGCTCGACGAGTCGGTCCCTGACAAGTTTGTCCCTCGAGTGCAGCATCATCTCGAACTTCAAGATCGTCGAGCTGTCGGAGGACGACATCGCGGCCATCGACGCCATCGGCGACGAGTCCAAGGGCGGCTCGTACAAGCGCTTCAACGTCCCGGTCACCTACAACCCCAAGTGGCCCGTGCGTCCTCGTCCCTCTCCTTGTCGCGCACGAGCCGCTCGATCTCTATCGACCGTCACTGACTCTCTCTCCCTCTCTCTCTCTTTCGCACAGATCAACGTCTTCAACGAGAAGGAGGAGCAGGGCGAGAAGTACAGCGTCAACCTCGGCAACTAGATCTGCCGCTCTCGCGCTCGCACTAAAGTACATAAAAACGTCCGCAATGCAACCCTCTGCAGTGACCCTTCTACTTCTCGTCGTCCATGACTCGTCGCCCGATCGTCGCCGCGAGGTACTCGTCCATGCGCGTGAGCTTGACCTGAGGGAAGAGGTCGTTGTGGACGAGCGAGGGGTGCCGGCGGAACTTGTTCGTCCCTGCGCGCTCGCTCGCTCGCTCGCCGAGTCAGGTCGTCTCGAGAGTGAGAGAGGCAGAGAATGAGAGGAGAAAGAGAGAGAGAGAGAGGGCGCACCTTGCTGCAGCCGCACGATGTACCAGAACGCCGGGTCGAACCTCGACTGTCTCGCGCGCTCAGGAATCGTCTCGGGCCGCTCGATGTACGCGTGCGCCTGCTCCTCCGAGACGTAGTCGGGCTCGACGGGCCTGCCGGAGCACGACGCGACGAGGTCGGCGATCTGCTGCTGCGAGACGACGTCCGAGACGAGGTTGAGGAAGGCGTCGCGAGAGAGCGAGGGCGAGGCGAGGGCGGCGACGACTGCGGGCATGAGACGTCGCTCAGCGCCGAGACAGTCGAGAGGACGACAGGAAGAGAGAGCGAGAGCGCACCGAACTGGGCGAGGTCCGAGATCTTGGTCACCTCGTACTTCGAGTCGGGGTCGCCGACGATGGGGAACACGTAGCGCTCGGGCACCTGCTCGGCCGCCCACCCGGTCCAGTACGTCTCGGTCGGCTGGTCGTCTGCGCGAGGGCCGAGCGGCGAGTCAGTGAGGGCGGGCGGCAGAGTGGCGAGAGGAGGACGAGGACGCACACAGGTCGCCGCAGCCGATGATGGTGAACGTCATCTTGCGGCTCATCATGGCCGGGTGCAGCAGCATGTGCTCGTGGAAGCGCTGCTTGATGTCGAAGTACTGCGGTCGTGGACGAGCGGGTCAGCGTCGAGTCGAGGCAGGTCGAGTCGGCTCGCTCGAGGGGTCAAAGCGCGAGTCACGAGGGAGGTGCGCACAGGGTGGAAGTGGGTCCAGTCGTCGCCAGGCTTGCGCCAGGGGTGCTCGAAGCCGTACTCGGACGGGACGAAGCGCTTGACGCCTGCATGGCGGTCGACGAGAGGTGAGTACGAGGAAGACCGAGGGGGAGAGATGCTCGAGGAGTGAGCGGTGGACGGACCTGCTTGAGCTGCCGCATCGAGGATGGCGTACTGTGCGTCGATGCCGGGCCCGTTGAGCGCCGACACGACGGCGTCGACGCCCTCGAGCAGCTTAGCGAGCTGCTCGACGTCGCCAAAGTCGGCCTTGACCTTGTCGACACGGGCATGGTCCTGAATCGTCGCCGCCTTGTCGTCGAACTGCTGTTGGCGGAGGAAGACGCGCACACGAGGCTCGTAGCCGGCAGTCGAGGGACGCAGGAGAGCGTCGAGAAAGGCGCGCCCGATCTGGCCCGTCGCACCGAAGAGGGCGATCGTCTGGAAAGCTTCGGGCGCGCTCATCTCAAGGAGGCGCTCGTCGAGAAGCGAGAGAGGCAGGGTCAAGCAGGAAGGGACGAGCGAGCGTGAGGAGGGAGCGAGGCGAGAGACGACCAACGTCACTGCGAGGGAGACCTCGGGCTCGGACAAGTGGAGCAACGCGTGGAGCTGCTCGGGCGACATGGCGTGCTGCGTAGGCAAGAGGACGCCCTGCTCGAGTATCGCAGCAGGTCTGCGACGAGCGCCGAGGAGGCGCGGCGAGAGGGAGTTTGAGGAGGAGCAAGAGGCGGGCAACCAGCCGAGAGCAAGTCGGGCGCTGTGCTGCGCTCACGGGGATGGCAGAAGCCGGTGCAGGCAGCACCTGTGCAGCCTGAGAGAGAGGGAGAGCTCGTCGTCGTCGTCGTCGTCGTTGTCGCCCCCACCTCCGCTCGTCACTCCTCCTCCTTGTCACGCGCGCGCACTGCCACGATGAGCTCGAGTGCGCTGCAGCAGGTCCAGGAGCACCTCAACTCGGGCGACTACTACTCGGCCCACCAGAAGGCCCGCACCACCGCCGTCCGCCTCCTCGCCCCTCCCCGCCGCAACCCTCCCCCAGCCGGCACCGTCCTCCCGTACGACCAGAAGGCCCAGGACGCCGCCAGCCTCCTGTGGGACGCCGCTCGCCGCCTCCTCGAACAGGGCCAGGTCGGCAGCGGCGTCGACCTCGGCGTCATGCTCGTCGACGACGTCTGGCTCGCCCGCCACGTCGGCTGCGGCAAGGACGAACGCGGTCAGTCGCACGTCTCTCTTGACTCGGGTGGTGCCGAGGTGGGCACCTGGCACCTCGCGATTTGTTCCTCTTGACGTTGGCGCGACTGACCCCTCCCTCTCCTCGCTCGCAGCCAAGATCATCCAGCTCATCGCCCTCACCGGCCCTGCCGGCGCATGGAGGAAGACCCTCACCGACGCCATCTTCACGTGCGTCCCCTCTCCTCTTCCCCCCTTCGCCCCCTCTGCGCCCTCGCACGCTCACACCTCTCCTCGCAGGTGGACGTCAAAGACGGGCTCGGGCCCTGCCGGCGACATCGACATCCACCAATACCTCGGCGAGACGCTCTACAAAGGTGCGCCCCTGCTCTCTCTTTCTCTCTCGTCGAGTCGGTTCGCAGAGTGGCTGACCACGTCCCGCACCTCGACGCAGAGCTCGACTACCACCAAGCTTCGCTACACCTCCTCGTCTGCCCGACGCAGGACGCTGCACAGACGCTCGCGAGCGTTCTGTTCGACTGGTCCAAGCTTGACCCGGAGAAGGAGGCCGCCGTCGGTCGTTACGCCGCTCGCGGCACGCTCAGGTGCGCCTTCGCCGTCCGCCCTTTCCCCTCTCCTCGCCTTCTCACTCGCCTGACTCGCTTCTCTATACCGCACAGCTACCTCGAGTCGTCGTTCATCCTCGCGGCGCGCACCTTCCTGTCGCACTTCCTCGCCCTCGCCCTCGCCGCGTACCCCTCGCTCCGCGTCGCCTCGTTCGCCTTCCCCTCGCCCTCGTCCCCGCTCGCCCAGTCGACCACGTCGGCCCCGCCCTCGCCCGACGAGCTCGTCGTGACCAAGCTCGCGTCGCTCAACTTTTGCCAGCTCGCCGTCCGCGCGGCGCAGAGCGGCATCGGCGAAAACGTCGACAAGGTCAAGGTGCCCGGTCGCGGCGCCGACGAGTTTCGCGTGCAGCGCGGCGGCGGCACAAAGGCGTGGCAGAGCCTCGTCGGCCGGTACGAGCGCAGCGTGCCCTGGCTCAGGGCGCCCGAGGTCAAGGAGGCGACCCAGGCGATTGGCGAGATCCACTTTGGCCTCAAGCCGGCGAGGCAGGGCAACCCGCTCATGGACATGATGGCGAGCATGTTTGGCGGCGGCGGCGGTGGAGGACCAGCAGTGAGCGGCGCGCCGGCGATCGGCGGCAGGTGAGCGTGCGCGAGGAGGACGGGCAATTTCGCTCTCTCGCTCTCGCCACCCGAAGGAGCAGCGCAATGTCTGTTGATGCAGTGCAGGTCTCTGTCTCTCTATGAGTGCGAGAGTGCGAGCTGGCGTCGAGGAGCGAGAGGCCCTTCTACTTGCGGCGCGCACCCTTCTTCCGCCCGCTCCGACTGTTCGGGCCCTTGCCCCCTCCTCCCTTGCCGCCGCCGCCGCTCTTCCCTCCAGCACCTCCGTCTCCAGAGCCTCCTTGCGGCGCAGGCGCGTCGGGCGCAGCTGCAGGCGCCGGCGGGCCCTCGCTCTCCTCCTCGACGAGCGCACGGGCCGCCGCCTCGCTCATTGGCGGCGGGACGGGCGACGCCGCGCGCTCGACCTCGGCGGCGCGCTCGACGGGGGCCGGTGCGTCCGCAGGCGGTGCGGGTGCGGGTCCCGGCGCTGGAGGCGAGGCCGGAGCGGGTGCGGGTGCGGGAACGGGTGCGGGCGTGGTCGCGCCCGAGGGGAGCGCCGACGGCGGGACCGTGCTGCTGCCGTCCTGGCCTTCGATCTGCTTGGCCCACAGCTCTGCAGGGAGAGGCGAGTCAGTGCGCGCGCGCGAGAGAGAGAGAGATGCGAAAAGGCGAGACGAGGGAGGAGATGAAGACTTGCCGGCGTACACGCCGTCTGGAATCGCGAGCAGCTCGGTGTGCGACCCTTGCTCGGCGACGAGGCCGTCCTTGAGCACGACGATCTTGTCGCTGTCGACGATGGTCGACAGACGGTGCGCGATCGTGAGCGAGGTGCGGCCCTTGGACTGCGAGGGCGACGAGAGGTCAGTGCACGAACGGGCAAGAGGAGGGAAAGCGGGCGAGAGAGGGACGGACAAGCTCGCGCAGGCGGTTCTGGATGAGGCGCTCGTTGTGCGTGTCGAGGGCCGAGGCTGTGAGGGCGAGAGGAGGGCGTGAGCTGGAGGTCCGTGCGCGTCGAACGAGGAGGACAGGAGGACGACGTACTCGCTTCGTCGAGGACGAGGATGGGCCTGTAACCCGTCGCAAGTACGTCATTAGAACGTCACGTAGACAGGCGAGACGGCTGAGGCAGAGAGACGAGGACGCACGGGTTCTTGAGGAGCGTCCTCGCGATGGCCACACGCTGCTTCTCGCCGCCCGACAAGCGCATGCCCCTCTCGCCGACGAGCGTCTCGTACTGGTCCGGGAACGTGAGGATCTTGTCGTGGATGGCGGCGCCCTTGGCGGCATCGACGACGTCCTCCATCGTGAGCTCGCTGTCGGGCTTGGGCTTGCCGTCGGCGTCAAGGCGAAGGAGGCCGCCGTCTGCGTAGGTGGCGAGGCACGAAGAGAGAGAGACGGGTCGTCTGTCAGGGCTTGTACGGTACAGAGAGGGAGAGAGAGAGGCGGGGTAAGAGGACGCACAGGCGATGTTGAACCGGATCGACGCGTTGGCGAGGACGCAGTCCTGCGGCACGAGCCCAATCGCCGCCCTCAGGCTCCTCTGGCTCAAGTTGCGCACGTCCGTCCCGTTGACGCACACGGCGCCCTCGGTCGCGTCGTACATGCGGAACAGGAGCCGCGACAGGGTGCTCTTGCCCGAGCCGGACGGCCCGACGAGCGCGACCGTCTGCCCGGCGGGCACGTCGAACGAGACGCCCTTGAGCACGTCCACCTTGCCGTCGTACGAGAAGTGGACGTTGCGGAATGCGACGCTGGCGCCCTCGGGCCCGACGACGAGCTCGACCGGGTTCTCCTTGTCCGAGATCTCGCGCTTCTCCTCGAGGAGCTCGACGAGCTGCTCCGTGTCGACGGCGTTGCTCATGACGCGACGGTACTGCGGGCGGCGGCGGGGCGAGCGGTGAGTTCCAGGAACAGGCTGTTGGCGACGCCGTCGTCGACAAGCGCGAGAGGGCAAAAGGGAGGACTCACGAGGCTCGAGATCTGGTTGAGAGGCGACAGGAGGCTCGCAAAGTAGCTCGTGAAGGTGGCAAACTCTGCGAGGGCGAAGGAGGAGAGTCAGTGTCGTCGGCCGTGCGCTCGCTCCCCTCGACGCTCGAGCTCTCGCTCTGAGGCGGATAGACGCCAAGGTGGACGAAAGGAACGAAGCCGACGCACCGCCTGGGTCCATCTGACCGCTGACGACGCGGTTGGCGAGGATGAACGAGCAGACGAGAAGGCCAAAGTTGCTGATGCCGTTCTGGAGGAGCGACAGCGAGTTCCAGGCCGAGTAGACGCGGAAGTAGCCTGCAGAGGGGACGAGAGGCTCGTCAGGTTGCGGACTCGTCGTCGCGGCCGGGCGCTCGTGACCGCTCGCCGAGAAAGAGAAGAGGGCGACGCACCACGCTGGTACCGCCACATGGCGTCCCTCAGGCGCTTCGACTCGAAGCCCTCGGCGACAAAGAGCTTGACCCCCTCGTAGTTCATGATGACGTCCGTCTTGATCTGGTGCGCAAACTGGCTCTGGTCGCGCAGCTCGCGGTACAGCTTGACGCGCGACTCGGCGAGGAGGACCGAGGTAGTGACGCTGCGGGCCAAGCGCAGGAGCAGAGTGAGCGCCCATCGAGTACGTCAAGAGGGGAGGGAGGAGGAGAGAAGAGGACGAGGACGCACTAGATGACGCCGACGAGCGTGACCACCGACACGACGGTAAAGCCGTATCGCACGCTGAGGACGACGAACGCAACGGGCAGGTCGATGAGGATCGGGATGAAGCTGAAGATGAGGAGCTCGAAGAACTGTGCGCGAGGCGGGACGAGGGTGAGTCGTGGACTGACAAGGAAAGGTCCGAGCGGGGAGAGAGGAGGACGCACGTCGTTGATCGCCTCGGAGCGGGACAAGATGCGCAAGAGCTCGCCCGTCTTGCGGCGCGTGTGGTAGGCGAGCCTGTAGGCGCACGAAGAGAGGGTGTCAGTGTCTCTGCCCGATCCGCAAAAGAAGCTGGGAGGAAGAGGAGGACGTACGAGAGATTGAGGATCGTCTCGAACGACATCATGGCCATCTCCCTCTCCGAGTACTGCTCAACAGGGAGCCACAGGTACTCTGCGTGACGTGCGAGGGCGAGGAATGTGAGCTCGACGGGCTCGAGAAGAGACTCGAAAGAAAGGGCGAGCGACGCACGGTATAGCATGCTGTTCGAGTCGCTCAGGAACTGGACGAGGAGGTAGAGCGACACACTCAGGTACGGTGCTGCGAGGGAGAGAGGCGGCGTGAGTGCGGCTCTTCGGCGGGCGAAAGGGGAGAGGGGGACGCACGTCGTCCTTTCGCGAGGTCCGAGATGACCCTGCCGAACAGGAGCGGCCTCGCAACGTTGAGGTAACGCTTAAAGAGCATGAGGCCAAAGCACACGAGGGCGAGGACCTGGAGCGCGATGCTCTTGGACGGCCACAGGTACGGGAACAGGAGCTTGACGCGCTTGAACAGCGTCAGGATCGACAGCGACTTGGGGTCCTGGGGCCGGTTCGACGGGATGCGCGTCCCTCGCAGGACGGACGGCTCGGCGACAGCGGCGGAAGCCGAGGTCGGGAGGGCGGCGTAGCCGTTCGACGACGACGCGGCGCCGAGGAGGGGCGTGCGCTCCGAGGCAGGCCCGCTCGGGACGTACGTCGCGCGGTACAGGGGCTGGAACTGGAACGCGAGGAGGACGAGGGCGAGGACGAGGCGGAGCGACAGGATGGCGAGGTGCACGACGGGGAGGACGTCCTTCTTGGGGTCGACGCGCGGGTCGACGACGACGATGCGGCTCATGATGCCGAGGACGACGCTCTCGAGGACGATGGCGAGGAAAGTGAGGATGCGCGGGTGGAGCATCGGCCAGGGCGCGTCGTTGACGCCCTTGACCTGCTGATCGCGACCCTCGTAGACGAGGCCGAGGCCGAGGAGGGTAAAGGCGGCGACGCCGCCTGCCGAGTAGGCGGCAATGTTGACGTAAAGCGGGTCGTGAGGCGTGTAGTGCGACATGACGAAGGTTGCGACGACTGGGAGGAGACGGTTCGAGAGGTCAGGCTCGTGCTCGTTGGGGGCTTGGGCGCACAGGGGACGCACCTTGAGCGACACCGTCGGCAAAGTAGGTCATTGCGACGAGGGCCATGAAGACGAGGACGACGCTTTTGCGGATGCTCGACGCCTTGACGATGACGGGCGTGACCTGGTCGGCGTCGTTGTCGGCCGTCTCGGCGCCGGTTGAGCGCTTGGCGGTGTGAGCGCCTTCGACGAGCTCTGGCGGGGCGTAGATGTCGTCCTCGGCGTGCCAGCCTGCGGCCTGGATGCGCGACATCATGGCGAGGAGGGCGCGGCCGAGCCAACGCAGGGCGAGGAGGCCGACGAGGACGGCGGGGACGGCGATGCGCAGCTGGGCGAGGGTCGAGTACAGGTTGGCGAGGTCGCCTCGTGCAGCCATGGCGGCAGTGGCCGCTGCTGCAGTCGGCTCCATGCTGAGCTGCTGGTCGTTGGTTGAGGAACGAGGTCGAGGCGAGGTGGGGAGGCGACGGGGCGAGATGGGCGTCGCGCGGTGCGCTTGTCGGCTTGGTACGAGCGCGGAACTCACTCGACAGCGGTGTCAGTGCTCGCTGCGCTGCTGGTCGAGACGAGAGCGAGCGAGGCGGTGCGGCTCGCAGCTGTCGGCCGCGCAAGCTCGATTTCGCACGCACCTCGCTCGTCTTTCGAGCTGTCGCTGGGGCGCTTTCGTGCAAGCGTAGTGTGGCCGTCTACTGGACCCAACAGCTTCAGGGCTGAGCGTGAGGCGAGCGCGAGCCGAGGGTTTCCGAGACCTCGACGAGGAGCACGAGACCAACTGCGTCCGTTGACTCCGCTCCTCACCACCACCTTGAGCTTCCGCCAGACCACCGCAGCTCAGATGCACTCGAGCTTCCAGTACCTGTCGACCCGCGGCGGCGACGAGCGCCTCTCGTTCGAGGAGGTGCGTCCCTCTTCCTCGACTCTCGTCCTCATCGCGTCGACGAGGCCGAACAGGCCCACCACCCGGCCGGGCACTGCGGGACAAGAGCGGGATCTGTGGATGGACGCCCATCAGGGCTTTCTGCCGGCGCGCACAGCCCGGCGAGCTGCGGCGGGCGCACGACGAGCTTCGATCAGTTCGAGCATCCGACGACGACGACGATGAGCCGATGAGGGGTTTCGGCCGGCGAGGTGCAGCCGCCGTGCGCTCTCGCAGCCTTCTGTGCATCTAGCAGTGCCCTGTCGATGCACTGCGAGCCCTGCGCAGCTGGGACGACGCCGCACCACCTCCCCCTCCTCGTCTCGAACTTGCACACTGACTCTTGCCTCTCCCTCGATCCCCCTCCCTCTCTCCGCCCTCACCCTCGTCCTCGACAGGCCGTACTCCGCGGCCTCGCGCCCAACGGTGGCCTCTACATCCCGGCCCACCTCCCGTCGCTCCCCGAAAACTGGCAGCACGACTGGGCCAAGCTGTCGTTCACCGAACTCGCCCTCGAGCTCTACTCGCTCTTCATCGAGGAGCACGAGATCCCGCGTGACGACCTGCGCGACCTCGTCGAGCGCTCGTTCGCCACCTTCCGCCACAAGGACGTGACGCCCCTCCATCGCGTCGGCGACAAGGAGTTCATCCTCGAGCTCTTCCACGGCCCGACGTTCGCGTTCAAGGACGTCGCCCTCCAGTTCCTCGGCAACCTGTTCGAGTACTTCCTCACTCGCCGCAACGCCGACAAGCCCGAGGGCCAGCGCGAGCGCCTCACCGTCGTCGGCGCCACCTCGGGCGACACCGGCTCGTGCGTCCTCGCCCTCCCTCTCTCTCGTCGAGTGCGTCTCGAAGCGCACGACCTGACTCTCTCTCTCTCCCCAACAGCGCCGCCATCTACGGCCTGCGCTCCAAGAAGGACATCTCGATCTTCATCCTGCACCCCAAGGGCCGCACGTCGCCGATCCAGGAGGCGCAGATGACGACCGTCCTCGACGACAACGTGCACAACCTCGCCGTCACGGGCACGTTCGACGACTGCCAGGACATCGTCAAGCACCTGTTCAACGACACCGAGTTCAACTCGCGGTACCACCTCGGCGCCGTCAACTCGATCAACTGGGCCCGCATCCTCGCCCAGACCGTCTACTACTTCGCCGCCTACTTTGCCGTCCAGCCCCAGATCCCGTACGACGTCCTCGACCCGCAGATCCAGTTTGCCGTCCCCACGGGCAACTTTGGTGACATCCTCGCCGGCTGGTACGCCAAGCACCTCGGCCTCCCCATGGCCCAGCTCGTCGTCGCGACCAACGCCAACGACATCCTCGCCCGCTTCTGGAAGACGGGCCGGTACGAGAAGGCCGACTCGGGCGAGCCCGAGCACTTTTCGGACGACGAGGCCGACGACGACGACGAGGCGGGCGAGGGCCACGTCCACCAGCGGTACCCGAGCCTGACCGAGGACGAGGCGTTCAGGCGCCAGCAGGAGGCCGTCGCGCAGAACGTCGAGCAGAACGGCGCGAGCGACGGCAAGCAGGCCGACGGCGCGACGCCCTCGCGCTCGACGTCGCACGCCCGCGGCGCCAAGCGCGCCCCGCCGTCGGCCGGCACCGTCGCCGAGACGCTGTCGCCCGCCATGGACATCCTCGTGTCGTCCAACTTTGAGCGCCTCCTGTTCTACCTCGCGCTCGAGGGCACGACGGCCGGCGCGGTTGCGGCCGACGGCGAGGTCGACGGCGGCCAGGCGGCGCGCGTCCGCATGGCGGCCGAGAACGTCAAGCTGTGGATGGACAAGCTCAAGAGTGAGCACCGCGTCAAGGTGCCCCGGCGGGCCGTCGAGGCCGCCAGGCGCGACATGATCGCCGACCGCGCGAGCGACGAGGAGACGGCCGAGACGATCAAGAAGTACTTCTCCAAGACGGACGAGTACGGCTCGTACGTCGCCGACCCGCATACCGCCGTCGGCCTGTGCGTCGCCAACCGCGTCGCGAAGACCAAGTGCGTCCTGCCTTCCTACCCGTCACGAGGTCCGTGCGTCGACCTGCGGCGGCCCAGCTCCTGACGAGCGCCTCTCTTCCTCGTGCCACAGCCCGGCCAACGTCATCCAGATCGTGCTCGCGACGGCGCATCCGGCCAAGGTGCGCTCCTGCCCTCTCTCAACTCCTACCCTCGTCCCTGTCCCCCTCATCCTCCTCCCTCGTCCCGCCTCGCCCTCTTCCTCCTCTCTCTCTCCCAAACGTCATCTAGCTGCCCCTCTCGACGATACTGACTCTCCCTCGCGCACCCGCAGTTCGACTCGGCCGTCTCTGAAGCGCTCGAGGCCGAGCCTTCCTTCAACTTCAAGCGCGACGTTCTCCCGAAAGAGTTTGACGGCCTCCTCGAGCGCGAGAAGCGCGTCATCGACTGCGACAACGACCCCGAGGCCGTCAAGCGCATCGTCAAGGAGCACGTCGACAAGCTCTTTGCCAAGCCGGCGGTCGCGGCGTCGGGCCTCTGAGCGAGCGAGGGCGGGTCCGGCGCGAGCGAGGGCGGCTCTCTGTGTAGCGAGTAGAGTGGTGGCGGCGACGATGCATGCCTCTCAGTTCATCCTCCTCGAGCGCGCTGCCTCTCTCTCTCGCTCTCTGGTCCGGTCTCTTGCTCTCGCTCTCGCTCTCGCCCGAATCGATAGGGCTAAGGGATACACGCCTATACTGCTACACGGGCGCCGCTCTAGCATGCGCTCATCTCGATGCCGCGCCGTCGAGGCGTCCTCGCCCCGCCGCGCAACTCGCTCTCGACGAATCCGAGTCCGACAAGGTCGTCGACGTCGTGCTCGTCCACGTGGACGGACACCTCCTGGTCCACCTGGATCCCGCTGCTCGTGCCGTCTGCTCCTCCATCGCCTCCTCCTCGCGGCACCCCGACGCCGCCGAGCGTCGCGACATGCAGCGGGAGCGGGCTCGCTCGCTTCGAGGCCGACATCGTGTCGCCGCTGCTGCTCTGCGGCGTCCCGCCGCCTCCTCCTCGGTCTCGACCGAGCCCGAGGATACGCTCGCCGACCGTGCGCGACGTGCCCGCCCTCGAGCCCGAGCCGCTGGCGCTGCCCGACGCCGCCTCCTCGCCGGCTGCGCGCGCCGCACGGTCCCTCCCGGCGCCCGAGAGGCCGCCGCTCCCGCTGCCGCTCGCGACGCCGCTCAGCGCCTGCGCCCTCGGGCTGCGCTGCTCCGACATGTGTGGCGGTACGGGCTGGGCCGAGTTCTTGCGCAGGATGAGGGCGCGCGATGAGAGGGTCGTGAGGAGGGCGAGGGCGTAGCACGACGAGAGGAGCCACCATGCGGCGTAGGGGGCACAGGCGTAGAGAAGGTTGTTGAACGGCGTCGCTGTGTGAGCACGAGAGTGTGAGCGCGAGGTCCGAGCGGGCGAAAGAGAGAGAGAGAGAAAGAGAGGGAACGGACCAAAGGTGAGGATGAAGCCCATGAACGCGACGAGGGCAGTATAACTGGCGCTCTGCAGCGCCAGGCGACACAGGGCGCGAAGCCGACCGTCGGTCGACGCGTTAAAGCCGGCTATCCGTCGTCGAAGAACGAGGACGAGGAGGACGCTGATCGCGACGTCGATGACGGCGGCCACGACGAGCCAGACGCCCGAGATGAGGCCGTACGTCGCCGCCTGGAGGAGCCCGCTCGACAACTCGTTCTTGTGGAACAAGATGCCGAGCACCGTCGAGAAGAGGATGGCGCCGATCTCGAGGACGATGAGGATGCCAAACGCGACGACGATGAGGCGCCTTGCCCAGCGCAGGGTGACGAGCTGCGTGCGGGAAGGAGGCGGAACCGAGTCAGGCTCACTCGAGGAGGTTCGGAAGGGCGAAAGAGGAGCGAGGACGCACCCGGGCAGCCCGCATCGTCAGGAATCCTTGCACGAGCGGCGCGTTGATGAGGATCGACAACGTCTGGATGGCGTCGAGCGCCGTGGGGTGGATGAGGCTCAAGGCATCGCGCTCTTGACGAACCATCCAATACGAGATGGAGGCGATATTCATGCCTGCTTGTACGACGGCGACCGAAACAACTGTCCACAAGAGCATCTTGCGCACGCCCGTGTCGCGCTCGTACATCTCGGTGTGCAGGTACGACACGAAGAGAGCAACGACGACGCCAGCCAACAAAATCTGCCCTGCCCAGCCCAGTGCGCACGGTAGAAGGATCGCGAGCGCGTACTGCTGCGACGCGATGGTGCGCTCGAGCGTGTCGTAGTGCGTCTCGTCGCCGTGGTCGAGGCGCGAGGTCGCCATCGCGCGAGGTCCGAGTCGAGGCGCCTGAGTCGATGTAGACGGCGCACGAGTCGAGGTAGACGGCGCCCGAGTTGTAGAGGACGGCGCGCGAGGGACGAGGCGTTGGATGGGCGGCGAGTGTCGGGGCGCGGATGCCGAGGCGTGCTGCAGCTGCAGCCGACAGCAGAGCCTGTAGACGCTCGCTCGAGGTGCACCTGCAGCGGTGGTGGCAGCAGGGCGAGCGCAAGTGGGGGAGCGGCGAGATGAAAGCTCGCGGCGCGACGGCGACAGCCAGCGCGCGCTCGCCGGACCAGCGGACCTTCGTTGCCCAATCTGGGCGGGCGCAGCCGATGTCAGGCGAGGCCTCGGAAGCCAGGGCGCAGCTCGAAGGGACCGTGTCGCAGGTGCGGAGGCCGACGAAGGGCTGGATCCTGGAAAGAGTGAGCTTGACTCACTCGAGCCCGCTGTCAGCCGCGGGCGCAGCTTAGCGTGGTCGGTGGGCGTCGTGGCGGCTGTGCAGGACGCAGTGCACGCGTCGGCAGTGCAGCGCGAGCGAGCGTGAGGTCGGGAGGCGGCAGCAAAGGCTGGTCGCGCTGATGAGGAGCTCCTCGCGACAAAGGCGGAGGTAGCCAGCTCTGAGTCTCGGCGCACGCTGCACAGGCAGCTGTTCTCTCCCAGGCACTCTCACCGCTCTGTGGAACCCAGCAAGCGCCGACTGGGGTCGCCGAGCTTGCGAAAAAGGGCAGCGAGTGGAGAGATCGTCGTTCGTCTCGCAGCTTCGACGAGAGCAAGCGGGCGCACGTGAAAGCTCTGGGTGAAAGCGGATGTACTGCACGCAGGCTGCCGACGACGACGCAAGCTGCCCTCACTCGCCGTCCCACTCGCCCGGCGCGTCCTCGTCGCCGAAGTCGTCGGTCGCCTCGTCCTTGATGCCCGCACCGAGCACCTCGGCCCGCATGCTCTCGTCCCACTTCTCGTCCCACTCGCTGCCGAACGAGCCCGCCGCGGGCGCGACGTCGAGGCCGTGCGAGGCGCCGAGGGCGTAGGCGTCCGACAGGCGCGAGAGGAGGGTCGAGCGTTGGTCGAGGAGGAAGCGCACGCGCTCGACGGCTGTGAGGAGGTCGCGGACCTGTATCAGTCCTTGTACTCGACGAGAGCAGGAAGGAGAGAGAGAGGGAAGCGAGGGACGCACTTTTGCCCAGCACGACCGCCTCGCTCTTTGGCCCGGCGCGCCCGTCAATTTTCTCGCCGCCGACCTGGATGCCGCCCATGAGCGCACCCGTCGTGCTCTGCCCGTCGAGGCCCCTCCCGAGCCTCTTCTTGCCCTTGCCGCCCTTGGCCCCGTCGAGCGCGCCGTCCGCTCCCGTCGCCTCTGCTCCTCCTCCTGCTGCGCCGGCGCCGCCCGCCGCGCCGCTCGTCACCTTCCTGACGCGCTCCTCGAACTCCTGCACGGCGGCCCGCAGCGCCGGCACGACCTCGCACAGGCCGTCGTACCCTTGGCGGATCGCGGCGCGCCGCTTCTGCTCGCTCGCGATGTGGTTGGCCTTCTTCTGCTCGGCCGTGAGGAGCGCGCCTTTGCCGCCGCCCTGGGCGGGAGCGGGCGACTCGGACGGCGTCGAGCTGGCGCGGGACGGGCCGAGGAGCTTGCGCGGTCGGGCCGGCAGGCGCGGGATGTTGTGCGGCGTGACGGCCGGGCCCGGGTTGTGGTGCGGCGCGTCCGGGTCGTCGTTGTCGATGAGCGAGGTGGGTGGAACGGGGAGGACCGGGGCGGGCGAGGCGGCCGTCGACGTGTTGTCGTCCATCGGCGTGTCGACGGCCGTGGCGGCGCCCGACGTGGCCTGCTTCTTCTTGGCGCCGCCCTTGGCGCGAGACGTCGGCGCGACGGTGTGCGGTGGGCCCGACGGGCCGGGCGCAGGCGCAGGCGCACCGTCGCCGGCTGCGGCGAGGGCGGTGTCGGACACGGCGGCGCGCTTCTTCCTTCCGGGCGCCGACACCTGCGCCGCCTGCTGCGCCGACCTGCGCTTGCCCGGCGGGAGGACGGCGGGCCACTCGGGCTCGCGCCGGCCCTCGTCCTCCTCCTCCTGAGCCGCAGCGGCGCTCGCGGCGGCGTGCAGCAGCGCGTGGGCGGGATCGCGCGCCGGTCCTGCCCCTGCGACGGCTGCCGCGCCGGGCCACCCGGCACGCCGCTCGGCCTCCTCGAGCATGGCGACGAGCGGGTCCTCGCCGCCTCGAGCCCGCCTCGCCCTCGCCGCCCCACCGCGTCGGCCTCGAGCCGAGGCCGGGTCCTCGCTCCTCGCGCGCTTGAGCGGCGGCAGGCCGCGCTCCTCGCGCCCGCCCTCGTCGTCGTCGTCCTCGTCGTCCTCGTCACCGCCGCCTGCAGCGCCCGGCGGCGGCCGAGACGGCGCGCGCCCCATCCACGCCTCGAGGTCGCGCGCGTGCTGCGCCATGCGGGCGCGCTTGCTCGCGTCGGGCTCGGCGTGCGTCGCGTCGCCCAGGCCGGGGTGCTGGAAGTGAGAGGCGAGCGACGGCGGGACGGGGAGGTGCGACGTCGGCGCGCCCGACGAGAGGTGCGGCGGGCGCGGGAGCGAGGTGAGGGGGCCCGTCGAGGCGGTCGCGTACCCGTGCGGCCGGTGCGCGAGCGGTACGCTGCTGCCGCTGCTCGAGCGGTGCGACAGGAGGGGCGGTGGTGGAGGAGGAGCAGGGTGCGGGAGGCGAGGTGCGCGGTGCTGGCCAGCCGGGTCGGACCAGCCGCCGAGGTCCCAGGTCGCGGCGCCGCCGTGAGCGAGCGTGCGCCGGGACGAGCTACCGACTGCTTGAGGTGGCGGTGGCGGAGCGGCGAACCCGAGGGCGGACGAGGCGGACGCGACGGCGGCAGAGGAGGAGGGAGGAGGGCCGGACGACGACGAGGCGAACGAGTCGAGGAACCGGCTGAAGTCGCGCGTCTCGCTGTCGGTGAGGAGCTCCATGCTCGAGTGCCGCCCTGCTGCTGCGTGTCCTTGTGCTGCGCGTGGCGAGAGAGGCGGTCAGGTTCGTTCGGCGATGAGCGCGGGCAAGGGGGAGGGTGCGTACCTCTGAAGGCGGCGAGGGCTGGGCGGCCGGTGCTGGAGAGTCGTGGAGCGGTGGCCGGGCGGTTGCACTGCCGCTTGAGCGCGCTGGTGCCGAGGGCGTGACGAAGGTGGAGAGAGAGGGAGCGAGATGACCGTGTCGCTCTCGCATCGTGCTCGCAGCCTCGAACTGGCGCGCAAGCGATACACTGAAGCTCGCCCGGGCGGACACACTGAGCTCACACCCGAAGCGCAGCTCTCCGAGCGAAAGTGGCCACCCGCTCCTCGAGCCGCGCTTTCACGGCCAACTCGTGCTTCTCGCTTCGTGCTCGGGCTCGCTTCGGATCTCTCGTACAGTCGGCTCAAGTACAAGTACAGTTGTTGCACGGGCTGCCAGAGGAGCGAGAAAGCCCGCCGAGCTGTCTCGAAGGAGACGCCGCCGTCGACGAAGCGAGAGACGCTCGTGGAGAGCAGCCGCGTCGCCTGAGCGAGCCCAATCTGCGCCGAGCAGGCAAGGGAGACGATGCCGTCTCGTCGCTCGCGACATCTGCGCCGTCCGAGCGAGATCCGCGGCGCTCGAGCGGGACATCTCGCTCGCGTCGCGGTCGTCCTCGCCCCGTTCCTCCTCGCCCTGCCGCTCCCACACACCGCCGACCTCGACAGCAAGCCCGTCATGGCCTACTACGCCCCCTCCGCCTCGTGTACGTCCTCGCGCTCCCTCGCCCGCTCGCCAGCGCCGCGCTGACCCACCTCGCACGATGTCCCCCGTCTCGCCCGCGCGCAGACCCGTCGATCCACCGCCCGTCGCTCGCCTATACCGGCACAACGGGCTATGCGCCCTCGCACCTCGGGCACCACCACCACCACCACCACCTCCACGCGCCCCGGAGCAGCCTCGAGCGCGAGCGGGCGTGGTACCCGGCGACGCGGACCGAGATGCTCGTCGCGCAGGCGCACAGCGTGCGTCCACGTCCACCTCGATCTGGTCGCAGTCGCCGAGTCGAGCAGGAGCGCGAGCTGACGGCGGACGGCGAGGGGTGTGCGCGCAGCGGCCGGTCGGGGCGCTCGAGCTGGAGGAGCGGCGGTACATGGCGGCGGCGAGGAGACGGAGGGGCGGGTACGGGTGCTGTGCCGGGCTGTGCGTGTCGTCTCGCTCTGTCGCGGGTCGGCCTGGTACTGACGTTCGAGCGGTGCAGGTGGGCGATATTGTGTTGCGAGGTCGCGAGGGACGAGGGCGAGTGCTGCTGAGTCGGGTCGAGGGGTGGAATGTGAGCGAGCTTGAGCAGGGTGCAGCACTGTGCAGCAGCTCGTATGGAGAGAGCGAGAGAGCAAGAGAGCCAAGAGAGGAACCCGGCGTCGTCGTCGTCGCCGGTTCGCTGTTCTCTCCCACTCGACCACGCGGCTGTGCCGACCAGCCGTTACCATGGACGCAGACCTTGCACGGCCACCGTCAGCCCCGGACCAGGACCACCAGCAAGACCGCCCTCCCCACCTCTCTCGCCGCTCATCTCGCCGAACTCGACACGCGCCAGACCTCGCCGACAAGCTCCGTCGAGAGTGGGACCAACATGCTGTCGACTTTGCCTGGGACTGGGTCAACGAGGACGACATGCGCGCCTTCCAGCAGGTGCGCCTCGTCCCCTCCCCTCCCCTCTCGCTCCCCCTCCCCCTCCCTTCCCTTGTCGCGGCACTGCAGCCCCGCCCTGCCTCGTACAAGCCCCCCTTGTGCGCGCTCACGACGCGCCGTACTGACCTGCCTCGCCCCATCCCGCCACAGGCCCTCTCGGACGAGCCCAACCCGGGCGCCGACCAGGACCAGCCCGAGAAGATTGTCGCCGCGAGCGACTGGGCCCCGGTCAAGGAGCGCAAGCGCAGCAAGAACCCGCGCAAGCGCAAGGACGTCGTCCGCGAGGGCTGGGCGTACCACATCTCGCGCTGGCCGCTCCTCGTCCGTCGCCCTCGTCCTCTCTTCCTCGCCCAGGACCCCTCTGACGCCTCCTCTCATGCCCCTGCAGCTCCTCATCTTCGTCATCATCATCTTCGAGTTTCTCTCCTACCTCGCCATCCGCCAGATGGTCAACGTCATCGAGTTCTTTGCCGGCTGTGCGTCCCGCTCCCTCTCCTGTCTCTCTCTACCTTTGCCTGACTCGCCGTCTGTCTACAGGGCGAGGCGAGCGAGGACGGCTTCGACTTGCGCTCCGGAACGCGACAACGTACGACGAGGTGCGTCCAGAGCTCGCCCACGTCTCGCCGTCTCTCGCCACCGGCGCGAGCGAGCACTGACTCGAGAGGTTCCATGCACACGCAGTGGAAGACGCGCGCCCTCGCCCTCGATGCCCTCCTCGGCCTCAACCACTGGAAGGCGTCGGCCCCGAACGCCTACTACGACGCGCCGCTCGTGCGCCGCGTCCTGCGCGCCCTGCGCTCCCTGCGCGAGCAAGGCGACGCCGAGGGCGTGTGCGCCGTCCTGCACGCGTGCGTGCGCAACAACTTTGCCGGCGTCGAGTCGTTCCACCTGTACAGCGAGTCGTACTTTGGCACCAAGGAGCTCGTGCAGGAGTACCTCGACGAGGGTAAGTCGCCGCTCGGTCCCTCTCTCCGCCTCCTCCCTTCCCTCGACGCGCCGAATGTCGTCGAGACGACGGACTCTGACACTGTCTCGTCGTCGCCCGCAGTCGCACGGTCGCTCGAGTTTGTCCGAGGCGCGTCCGACGACCAACTTCCACCCGACGAGAAGGCCGACTTTTTCCGCTCGGCGGCCAAGAACCTCGGCGCGAGCGCCCTGTGCCTGTCGGGCGGCGCCTCGATGTCGTACTACCACTTTGGCGTCATCCGGGCCCTGCTCGACGAGGACCGCCTGCCGCGCGTCGTGACGGGCACGTCGGGCGGCGCCATCGTCGCGGCCCTGTGCTGCACGCGCACCGACGCCGAGCTGCGCGAGCTCCTCGTGCCCGAGCTCGCCGACCGCATCACGGCGTGCGAGGAGCGCATCACGGTGTGGGCCGCGCGGGCGTGGCGCACGGGCGCCCGGTTCGACACGGTCGAGTGGGCGCGCAAGGCGAGCTTCTTCACGCTCGGGAGCATGACGTTCCGCGAGGCGTTTGAGCGCACCGGCCGCATCCTCAACGTGAGCGTCATCCCGAGCGACACGCACAGCCCGACCAAGCTCCTCAACTACCTCTCGGCGCCAGACTGCGTCATCTACACGGCCGGTGCGCTCCCCTCTTTCTCTCTCTCTTCCCTTTCCCTGCCTCCTTCCCTCTCTCCCCCTCCTCCCGATGCATCTTCCCCTCTTGCCTCGACTCGCCTCGACGATTCTCGACTCTGACCTCGTCGCCCCGAGCAGTCATCGCGTCGGCCGCCGTCCCCGGCATCCTCAACCCGGTCGTGCTCCTCACAAAGGACAAGGACGGCAAACTGCACCCGTGGGAGTTCCAGGGCAAGCACAAGGACGGCTCGCTCCGGGTCGACATTCCGCTGCGTGCGTCCGCCACTCGCTCTCCCTCTCTCTCCTTCTCTCTTTCGCCCTCGTCTAGCAGGAGCGACGGATCTGACAACTCGATGCACACAGAGGCCCTGCACATGCTGTACAACGTCAACTTCTCGATCGTGTCGCAGGTCAACCGTGCGTCCCTCGTCCTCCTTCTCTCCTTTCCTTCTTTTCCCCTTCCTTCCTCTCGCTCTCGGTTCTCCTCCTTCCTTCCGCCTAGTCGACGCCGAACTGACTCTCTCGAGCGACGTCCCGCAGCGCACATCCACCTGTTCCACTTTGCGCCTCGCGGCTCGCCCGGCCGACCCGTCTCGCACCGTCAGGGTCGAGGGTGGCGCGGCGGCTTCCTCCTCGCCGCCGCCGAGGGCTACTGCAAGATCGAGCTCGTCAAGTGGTTCAGGGTGCGTCCCGCTCTCTGCCCCTCCTCGCCGTCGACGTCGACCTCGTCCTCGCTCGAAGGAAAGGGCGACGAGCACTGACTAGCTCTCGTCTCGCGCCCGCAGGTCATCCGCGACCTCGAGCTCATGCCCGAGCTGGCCGGGCAGAACTGGAGCGGCGTGTTCTTGCAGAAGTTCGAGGGCAGCGTCACGATCTGGCCCAAGAGCCGCTGTGCGTCCACCGTCCTCTCCTCCCTCTCTCTCCTCTCGCACGGTACGGGACGTGACTGATGACACGTGCGGCGTGGTGCGCAGTCTCGGACTGGTTCCGCCTTCTCACCGACCCCGACCGCGACGAGCTCGCTCGCATGATCCGGGTCGGGCAGCGCGTCACTTGGCCCAAGGTGCGTCCCTGTCGACCCTCCCTCTTTCTCGCCCGAGCGCACACCTGACCCTCGACGTCGTCGCACAGATCAAGATGATCGAGAACCGCCTCAAGATCGAGCGCCAAGTCGACCTAGGCCGGCAAGAAGCGCGTGCCCGCCTCACCTCGTCCTCGTCCTCGAACGGCAACGGCTCGGCCTCTCTCGCCCCTCCTCCGCTCACGCGCCACAACTCGTCGGGCGACCACCTCCTCATCCCGCGCGAGCCTCGCGTCGCGAGCCCGGCTCGCGCAAGGACGGCGAGCCCGGCCCCTCGCGGCCAAGCGCAGCCCGACCGCTCTGGGTCCGGCTCGGGCGACACCGAGCTCGACGACGACGAGTACGGCGACGACGAGGGCCTCGACAGCGTGCGCGTCGACGACAACAGCGCGGCGGCCAAGAAGCGGCGCCGGGCCATCCTCGAGCGGCTCGGGCTGCGAGGTGCGGCGGGCCGGGGCGCGAGCGCGCCGCCTCTCGGCGGCGGCGGGAGCGGCAGCGCGAGTGGGAGCGACGGCGGCATGCGCCGTCGAGGTGGCGGCATCGGCGACGGGCGGTACCTGCACCGCGGCGGCGAGGGCGAGACGGAGGACGGCGAGGGCGAGTCGGATTGGACGAGCGGCGGCGAGGGCGCGCCGCCGCTCATGCCGCTCGGCGGGTCGGGCGTCAGGAGGAGGCTGAGGAGCAGCTCGCTGGGCCCAATGGTCGGCATGAGCTCTGACGAGGAGGGCCCGGCCGGCGCGGGCGGGAGGTGGTGAGGGAGGAGGCGGTCGGGCCCTCTTGCCCTTGCACTACTATCTCGAGCTACACGCTCCTTGTCACTCTATATCGGTCTCGGTTGCAGCGCAGCATCCCCGTATCGCATCTTGGGCCGTGCTCGCCAGAGAGGCTCGCTCTTCGTCGCGGCTCGGCGACTGTCGCTCCTTCGCACTCTCGCACACCTCGCTCTCCCGCTGAGCAGGTTCCGCCCTGTCGTACAGAATCGCAAGCGTCATCTTCACAACCTGAGCCAGTCGCGCAAGCCTCACGTCCAGTCGTCATCCCTGTGGACCTCCTCGAGTCCGTCAGCCTGATGAGCTCTCACAGCTCCGTCAACGCCTCGCCAAGTGCGTCGAGCTCAGTTTCTGCATGATGCAGTAGCCTCGACTGACTCTGCCCCTTGCCTGCACCTGCGCAGCGACGGCCCTCTTCGACCTCCCCGACGAGCTCCTGTCGAGCATCTTGAGGGACTGCATCTACTCGGCGAGCTACCGTCGCGGCCGTGTCGTGGGGCTCTTCACGGTCAGCCGACGCATCTATCGACTCGCCCGTCCTCTGGCCCTCGAGTGCGTCGTCGCCCCCTCCAGTTCATGGTTCGACGCGCCCTCGCCCACGGCACTCGAGCTCGTCGACCAGTTCTTCGGCAGGTTGGCAACATTGTCGCCGTTCTACAGCCACATCAAGAGCCTCGACGTCGGCAGGGTCGACGCCCCTATCCTCCTCAGCAACCTACTCGTCGCCTGTCCCGCCCTCGAGTCGCTGAACGTCGGCGACGCACTCGACGTCGGCGATGTCCTACCCGAGCGCGTGCTACGCGCCCTCCCAGAGGTCAAGTCGCTCCGTAGCCTGTCGCTGGACGCCCCGTTCTCGCTCGGCGACCCGTCCTTCGACCTGCGCACGACCTCGATCCGCCGCCTGTCGATCTTGCGCGAGCACAAGCTCCTCCTCGCCGACGGTAAGGGCAACAACCTCGACGAGCTCGACCTGTGTGATCACCTTCTCGAGGGCTGTGCGATACCCTGGTCGTCGTTAAAGGTCCTCCGCCTTCACGGCCACGGTGGCCGCCCGTTCGAGGACGGCGCGTCCGTCTTGCCGGCGCTCGAAGCGGTGCGTCCCCTACCTCGCCCACCCCCTTCCTTCAGTCCGTCGTCCTCATTCGAGCTGACACGGATGGTTTTTTGGCAGGTCGCTCGACCGGGCTCGGTCCCTCTCGAACGCTTCGAGCTGCTGCTGGACTCGGCCTTCGCCGCCGAGGACGAGTCGGCTCGTACTCGGAACTACGAGTTCATGTTCCAGGTTCTACGACTTGCCACGCCTCGATCGGTCGAGCTGTTCGTGGGGCGCTGCCCGCCTGTCCTCGCCCGTGGCAATCAGTCGCTTCCGAGCGTCGTCAACCTCGACCTCCGGGTTGGAGACAGATCCCTGTTCGACACAGTGCGCTCGCCTTTTACTGCTCCTTCACGAGCAGTGCGTGTACTGACGTTGAGCTTCCGCAGGAGGTTCTCCCCGTCTTCGCCTCCTTCCTCGCCCACTTCCGATCCCTCGCCACGCTACGCCTACAGACCAACTACCCGTCCTCACCTGGCGCCCGGCATTCGTTCTTCGCCGACTGCATCGCCCTGTCGCCTGCAACGTTCGCCCTGCACCACCCTCCCTTCTCGGCCCTCCTCGGTTTTCTTCGCACGACCAATGTGCTGCGGTTCGACTTCAGGGACCTGTCCGCGCGCTTCCTGCGCGGCACTCGCACAAGTGGGACGGAGGCTTTCGAGTTCGAGACGTTCAGCTACAGTCGGTGAGGGGCGGGCGACGTCGAGGGCGGCTCGAGGAGGACGAGGGGTTCGAGGCGGCGAATGTCACGCGCACGTTTCCCTCGCACTTCATGGGCGTCGTCGTCAGTGAGAGCTGCGCCTTCGTCGAAAGCGAAATAGCCTGCGAGAGAACGTGAGCGAGCCGCCGTCTCGTCCAACTCTCTCTGCGGCCGGCTCGCTCTCCCTCTTCTTCCGACCTCGCCTCCTCGCCCCTCGACTCGCTCGCGACGCGTCATGAGCTCCTCCAGCGAGCTCGAGGTCGTCTCGAAGCCGCGCCAGCCGTCATCGTCGCCCGAGGTGCGCCGCTCGGGGAGGGCCAGACGCGCTCCCCGCGGCCCGGACGAGATCGCAGCAGCAGCCGCGCCCATGGCCAGGTCGGGCTCGGGCACGGGCACCACGGGCCTGCCAGGTCCTCTCGACGCGTTCCAGGGCCAGCCGGCCCCGTCCAGGCGCCGCGGCGTCGACGACTCGGACGACGACCTCGCCCCACCGATGAAGCGCCCAGGAGCACCAGGGCCAGCGCCGTTCGCGTCCACGTCCTTCATGCAGCTCCCACCGCTGCCGCCCCTTCCTCCCGCACCCGCCCGACCGCCTCACGACGCGACCACCGCCTCGACCTCGCCCGCCCTCAACCCTTCCTCGAGCGCGCCCGCTCTCGGCTCAGCAGCCGCCCCGAGACCCGCTCCAGCCCGCTCTGCGTCCCTCGCCGCTCGCCCACAACCCGTCCCGCGCCGGTCCCGCACCCCGGCCGACCGCACCTCGGCCGCACCCGCACCTCCTCCTCGCGCCGCCCCACCGCCCAAGGTCTCGTACTCGTCCGACGAGGCCGACGACTTCTTCGGCGCGCGCCGCACCAAGCCCAAGATGCGCGTGCCGGCCGCGGCGAGGGCGGGCAGCTCGACGGCGGCAGGAGCCGGGACGGCGCAGAGCAGGGCGAGCAGCGGGTCGGCGACGCCGAGGCCGACCAGTCCAGGTGCGCAGCGCTGTCCTCTGCCTCGGTCGTGTCTCGTCAAGGCTCTCGAGGGCCTCGCTGACTCGCCTGTGTGCGTCCCGCAGTCAAACGTCAACGCCCGCCGACCCTCGACCTGTCGTCCTCTTCCTCGTCCGACAGCGACTCGTCGCCTCGCCGCCGCGCCATCGCCCTCTCGTCCGGCTCAGACGATGACCGCTCGACCAAGCTCACCAAGGCCCTCAAGCTGCCGGCCTGGGCGATGCAGGGCTCGACGGTGAGCGGCGCCGACCGCAAGCGGGCGGCGCAGGGCGGCGGGCGCAACCGCAAGCGCAAGAAGCTCGGCGAGAGCGGGAGCGAGGCAGAGAAGGACGAGGACGCAGGTGGACGAGGTGGGTCGCAGGGCAAGGGCAAGGGCAAGGAGAAGGCGGTGGACGAGGGCGGGTTGTTCAAGATGGGCGACGACGACGGCGACGCCCACGACGACACGGACGACAGCCTCGAGCTCGCCCTCATGCACGGCAGCAAGCTTAAGAGCGTGGCGCCGACCTCATCGCCGACGAAACTGCCGCCGTTGCGCTCGCCCCGTAGACCCTCAAGCCGCCCAGAAGCGCTCGTACTGTGCGCCGCAGCTCCTCCCCTCTCTAGCTCTTCGACGGCGTACTGACACACCTCTTCCTCGTGCAGACCCGACCGTCACTCGACAGGCCCATCCCCCTCGGCCTCGCCCTACCGCTCCCCTCGCCGCGCACTCCCGAACCCGCACGCCCTCCTCAGCTCGTCGCCCCAGCGCGCGTCGCACATCTCGCTCTCTTCGACCTCGTCGGACGGCAACGCGGCTACGATGATCGCGCTCGGCAGCGACGACGACGACGACGACGACGATGTGCCGATCGACGCGACGCTCGCCGCCATCCGCAAGTCGCTCGCCGCTGCGCGACGCGACGCTGCGGCCTCGCGCAAGGCGACGTCGAGGACTCGCGGCGGCGCAGGCGCGACGGCGTTCTCGTCGCCGGTCAAGGCGGCGTCGGCGAGCCCGGGCGGCCCGAGCGGCCGAGCGGGCGCGGGAGCGGGAGGAGGAACAAGTGCGAGGGCAGGGCCGAGCGGCGGGGCAGCGGCGGCAGGGGACGACGGCGACAAGGTGACGGTGCGGCTGAGGATGGTGTTCGACCCGACGAGGCAGGCGCCCGAGGTGGCCAAGCAGGCGTACGAGCGCGAGGAGGTGATCGAGATGGGGCTCGTGCGTCCCTCTTGCTCCTCTCCCTGTCTCTCTTTCTCGCTCTCTGCGACGGGTACTGACTGCGCGCACTCCTCGGCCCGCAGCACGAGCCTTTCGAGTCGCTCTTCTACGAGCTGTCGCAGCGGCGCGGCATCCCTCGAGCCGACCTCGTCATCACGCACCTGCGCCCCTCCTCCACCTCTATCTCGACCTCGACCTCGTCCCAGACCCTCGTCTCGGCCACCTCGTCCGCCTCGGGCTCGGCCTCGACGACCAAGCAGACGCAGCTGTACGAGTACGGCACGGCGGCCTCGCTCGGCTTGCGCGCCAGCGGCGAGCCCGAGATGCGCGCCTACACCCGCGACGTGTGGGCCAAGGTGCGCGAGGCGGCGCGCGTCGAGGCCGAGGCCAAGCGCAAGGCGCACGAGGACGAGGTCGAGGAGGCGGCGCTAGAGCGTCTGCGGGCGGGGGTGCGGGAGGGGGCGCAGGCCGAGCGAGAGGGGCGGGGAGGGGCGGCCAAGGGCAAGAGCGGGCCGGGACCGGTCGTGCTCGACCTCGAGGACGACGACGACGACGAGGAGCTCCTTCCGGCGCCCGGCGCTCGGGCCGCCGCCAGCAGCGACCCTCCCACGCCTGCCGCCGCCACCGCCACCGCCACAGCCGCCACCTCGTCCCCCAGCACGGCCGTCCCCGCCGGCCTGTTCCCGCTCACGCTGCGCGGCTCGCGCACCGAGTCGCTGTCGCTCGCCGTCAAGCCGTCGACGACGATCACGCAGCTCGTGCGCGCCTTTTGCCGCAAGTTTGCGATCCCGCCGGCGCGCCAGGCCAAGGTCGTCGTCGAGTTTGACGGCGAGCGCCTGCAGGGCACCATGACGCTCGACGAGGCGCGCGACGAGTTTGACCTCGAGGGCGAGGAGACGTTCGAGCTGAGAGAGCTTGCTTAGCGCGCCTTTTTGCAAGGTGCGGGTCTCTTGCCGTGCAGTCGATTCGTGCGCTCTCTGTCTCTCTCTGTGTGTGCGACGAGGGAGAGAGAGAGAGAACCGGCCCAGCCGGGCTCGAGAACGACACAATGCAACGAGAGCGAGAAGAAGGAAAACGACGCCGGATCCCCACCAGCTCGCTAGCTACAGCACCTCGGTCCCCTGCTTCTGCTCCTTTGTCCACTCGAAGCTGTACGGCGTCGCGCCGCCGCTGCCCATGGCCTTCCACCGCCGGATCGCCTCGAGCGCGGCCTCGCCCCAGTCGAACGACGACGGGAGCGGGTTGGCCGTCGATGGCCCGTCGACAAAGACGAGGAAGGCGCGGTTCGACTCGGAGATGAAGCCCGACGAGATGGCGCTGCGCGAGGAGAGAGGGGCGGGAGGGAAGGAGGGTCCGAGCGGGCGTCAGGGTGCGGCTCTTTCTCGAGGCAGGAAGAGAGGGAGAGAGAGAGCGAGGCGCACTTGTTGATGAACTCGCGCAGGGACGAGTAGAAGCCGTTGACGTTGAGGAGGACGACGGCTGCGAAAGGCGACCGGCGTCGGTTTGAGAAGGTCAGTGCGCGCTCGTTCGCGAGGCGGCGGAAAGAGCGAGAGCGAGGACGCACGCTTGAGGTGCACGCCGATCTGGGACCACGTCGTCATCTCGGCAACCTGCACGAGGGAGAAGGGAGGTTAGGGCGGTGCTCCTCAGGCACGAGAGGGCGAAGTGAGAGAGGGAGAGAAGGACGCACCTCCTCGAGGGTGCCGTAGCCGCCGGGCAGGCCGATGAAGCCCTCGCTCAGGTCTGCCACTGCAGGAACGGATAGCGAGGTAAGCGCCCGCCAGCGGTCTGTACGAGGACGGCGAGCGCTCGCTCGAGCGAGCGCACGCGCCCAGGGAGGACGAGGCGACGCACTGAGCTTTTTGCGCTGGTGCATGCTGTCGACGATGGTCTCCTCCTCGTTTGGTCGGAGCGGGCCTCGGTCTGGCGCCTCGTTGGCGAGGAACTGCGGGCGGGTAGGGGAGGTGCGACAAGGGGGAGGGACGCAAGGCAAGGGCGTCAGGGAGGGGTTCCTCAAGGACGGCGCGCTCCTGAGAGGGTCCCCAAGGAGCATTTGGAGGAGTGAAGGAAGGAAAGCGAGACGCACCGCCGAGGGGATGATGCCGTGGACCCTGCCGCCGTGGTCGAGCGTGCGGGACGAGACCTGGCCCATGACGCCCGCCGTCCCTCCTCCGCTGCGTGCGTTGGGGCGAGGTCAGTCATGCGCTTGGAGGCGAGCACCGTGGAGGGAGCGGGACGCACTAGATGAGGGTGACGCCTGCACGAGCAAAGGCTCGGCCGACAGAGTCTGCGGCCTCGGCATAAACGGGATCGTTGCCCGGGCTTGAGCCGCAGAAGACGGTGTAGGCGAGCTCCTTCTGGGTGCTGTCGGCGAGGTCGGTTCGAGTCCTGGCGGGGTTGGCGAGCGAGGGCGAGAGGTGCGAGAGGGTGAGCTGGAGGCGTTGGAGGGCCATGGCGGATCGGGCGCTGGCGCGGGTGGCTCGAGGCGTGTGAAGGAGGGAGAGAGAGCTTGTCGGAGCTCACATTGCGCAGCTTGAGCAAGCGTGGGACGCGGAGAGCAAGCCGTGCCGAGCGGAGAGTCCGACGAGGCGCGGCTGCTCGCACCCCGTTCGTCTGCGTCTCCTGTCCGCCAGAGACTCGTACACCGAGGACCCACTCTGCTGCAGCCACCCACACCGAGCCACACCGGGCTCACGCGGCCGCCGCTTCCCCTCGCCTCCTCATCTCCCTCCGCGGAGCTTCCTCCCGTCTCGGCCGCTGCCGCCGCACTGTCCGCCCAGGTGAGCCGCTCAGTCCTCTCTGTGGTGCATGCGCAGCGCAACGGCGCGCGTCCCTCGTGAGTACAGCGGCCCGCTCACCGTCTCGCTCCCCCACCAGCACCGCCTCATCGCCTCATCGCCCTCGAGGCGCATGCTCCCCCTCCGCGCCAGCTCGACCACTCGCACAAAACCGCCAGCCACCTCTGTGCACCGACCACGCCCAACGACCCGCCTCGCACCCCTCCTCGCCGCTCTCGCCCTCGTCCTCGTCGCCTGGACCTCCCTCGCCCAACCCTCTCGTCCTCGCCCAGCCGACCTCACCCTCCCGACCCGCCTGCGACCCGTCAGCGGCTGTGCCGACACTCGTCACACGACACTTGAGCCGCGCGAGAAGGCTGCCATCGTTGTCCTCGTCCGCGAGCGCGACCTCGCCGACCTCGTCCCGACCCTCGCCAACTTTGAGCAGCGCTTCAACAGCCGCTTCCGGTACCCGTACGTGTTCCTCGCGTCGCCAGACGAGGGAGCACTCTCGGGCGCGTTCCGCGGCGAGGTCGAGCGCGCGCTGCCCGAGGGAGCGCACACACGGTGGGGCGTCGTCGCCGACGAGCACTGGCGCATCCCGCCGCACCTCGACCCGGACGCCGTCCGCCGCGGCTCCGCCGAGCAGGAGCATCGCGGCGTCCAGTACGCCGGCAGGGAGGCGTACCACCACATGTGTCGCTGGTACGCCGGCCTCTGGGTCCGCCACGACCTCCTCGACGACTACGACTGGTTCTGGCGCCTCGAGCCGGGCGGTGCGTCCCTCTCTCTCTCCCCTCTTCTTCAAGCGGCACGCACTGACTCGCCGCCCGTCTCGCAGTGCGCTTCTTCTGCACCGTCACCTACGACCCGTTCCGCCTCCTCGCGCTGCACAACAAGGTGTACGGCTTCGTCATGACGGTCGTCGAGAACCTCAACACGGTCCCGAGCCTTTTCAGCGCCGTCAAACGGTACCTCGAACGGCGCGGGCTCGAACCTGAAGGCGCCCTGTGGCGGTTCCTGACTCGGCGAGGCGAGGACGGCGACGAGCAGTTCTCGGGCTGCCACTTCTGGACCAACATGGAGGTGCGTCCCTCCCTTCTCTCTCTCCCGCGCACTCGAGCGAAGCCCCTGACTCGCTCGCACCCTCGCAGATCGGCGACCTGCGCTTCTTCCGCTCCGAGGCGTACCAGGACTTCTTTCGCGCGCTCGACGACGACGGCGGGTTCTACACCGAGCGTGTGCGTCCTCGCTTTCCCTCCTCTCCTTCTCGCAACCACCTTGCGACGGCAACTGACTCTTGGGGCACGACCTCGCGCCCGCAGTGGGGCGATGCGCCCGTGCGAGCTCTCGCGCTCGGCGCCCTCGCCTCGATCGACCAGGTGCACTAGTGCGTCCTCTTTCTCTTCCTCTATCGCCGCTCTCTCTTGCCGTCGAAGCCTCCCTGATCGTCCGCCACCCTCGTCCTCGACGCCCTCTCGCAGCTTCGAGGACCTCGGGTACCAGCACGACTGGTTCTTCCACTGCCCGGCGCGGTCGACTTCCCGAGTCGGGCTACGGCTCGACGGCGACAAAGGGGACGGCGTCGTCGGGTGCGAGTGCGAGTGCCCGAGGGAGGGCGAGCTGCAGGGGAGGAAGAAGGGGCAGGAGACGCTCGACATGGGTCCGTCCACCTCTCTCGCTCTCTCTGCGCGGCGCTCTCCTCGTCGAGGGGAGTGACGCGCTTTGTTGGCCATGTAAGGCATTGACGCATGCTAGCCCGCAGACAAGGACTGGCGGTTCTCGTGCCTCGAACAGTGGAAGGCGGCCGAGCGGTCCTCTCGCGGCACCTAGATTTTTGGTCGCGCCCTTGATAGACTTGTAACACAGTCGCATTGCACTCTGACTGTCCTGCGAGGCAAGGAAAGCTGTGCTCGTGGTCGCCAAAGTTGACGACGCGACCGAGCGCGTCGCTCCTCATCTCCCCACCACAAGCCCCCTCCAGCTCCTCGCCCGTGTACCGCACACGAGCGCATGCCAGCAGCACCCACCACCAGCACGAGCCCGACCGCCGCCAACAAGGAGAACCGCATGTCGTCCTCAACGCTCGCCGGTTCGGACGCGTCTCGCCGCCGCAACAAGGACAAGGACAAGGGCAAGGGCCGCGCGCTCGAGGGCGACGAGGCGGAGGACCAGGGCGGTGCTGCACCCACGCAGGGCGAGGACGCGCACACGCAGGAGGCGCACGGCGCGGGCGAGATGAGCGGCGAGGAGCTGGCGGACGACGACGACGAGGACGACGACGACGAGGACTTGAGCCCGGAGGAGCGGACGCGCAGGGAGGAGAAGAAGATTGAGCGGCGCAGGAGGCTGAGGAGCAAGTACCGCTCGCTGCAGCTCCAGGTCGACGGTGAGTCTCGCTCTCTCTCCCTCTCTTCCCCCTTCTCTCGCCGCCAGACGCCCTGACCCTCGATGCCCCGACAGACGCCCGTGGCGACCTGCAGAACACGACGGTCGACGCCCTCACACACCAGGTCTCCTCGGCCAACTCGCTCTTCTCGCACGTGCAGAACCCGTCCGAGGCCGTCCTCGACTCGCGCGTCCTCATGGCCACGTCCGAGGCCGGTGCGCTCAAGGCGCGCCAGCTCAAGATTGACGCCGACGCGTTCGACACGGACGAGTTCCTCGCGCGCCTCAGGCGCTTCCTCGGCGGCGAGGCGGCGAGGAGCGACCGCGCGAGGAGGCGCGACCGGACGACGGGCGGCGGCGGTCGCGCGAGGGGGAGGAGGGCCGCGAGCGACGAGGACGAGCTCGAGGACAGCCAGGAGGACGACGACGTTGCGCTCCTGTGGGGGCGTGCCGGGCAGGTCCTCGCCGGCGAGAGCAAGCGTCCGGCGCCGCTCGACTTCATGTGCGTCGCCCTCTCTCTCTCTCTCCCGCGTCGCTCTCCACAACCGTCCTCGTGTGCTCACGGTGCTCTCGGCGACGCAGGTACGGCCCGCTGCAGCTCGAGATCAAGGAGAAGAAGGCGCGCACGCAGAGGGCCAAGAACAAGGTCGACGAGGCGGACCGCATGCGGCCTGAGGAGGTGCGCCCGCCTTCTCCTGCCTCTGGATCGTTTCTGCGCTCTTGTGCCGTACTGATCCTGCACGGTGGTGTTCGTCGCGCGCAGCTCCAGGCCGAGGACGTCGCCAAGAACGAGAACGAGACGGGCAAGGTCGTCGCCAAGGTGCGTCCTCGCGCTCTCCTCCCTCGCCTTGTCGGGCGGCCTCACTGACTCTTGCGCGTGCGTCACGTCGAGCAGATTGGCAAGCACCTGTCGGCCGTGGCGGCCGCGACCGGCATCCCGTACCTCAAGTTCGTTGTCAACCCGCACTCGTTCAGCCAGGTGCGTCTCTCGCTGCCCTCCCTCTTTCTGCCGCGCTCGCCCAGCCTCAGCAGGAGCAGTGTGGCTGCAGCCAGTTGTCAGGCAGCAGTGACTGACAGTCCATTCCCCTGCCTGCAGACGGTCGAGAACTGCTTCTACTTCTCGTTCCTCGTCCGCGAGCAGAAGGCGGCCATCGAGGTCGACGACGACCCGGACAGCGAGTACGCCGGCGACACGATTGCCTGTGCGCACCGCCTTTCTCTGCCTCGCCGTCGTCGCGCAGACCTGACATTCCCTCTCTCGTCGCCCACAGTCTGCGTCGACCCCGAGGCGGTCGCAGCTGCCGGTCAGCCCGTCGCGCCCAAGAACCAGGTCGTTCTCGAGCTCACCCAGGACGTGTGGCGGGTGCGTCCCTCGTCTCTCTTCTCTGTGCGGCCGCGCTCGCGGGAAGGAGACTGACCTTGATGCCGCGCGCACTCGCAGGAGGCCATCGAGCTGTACGAGATCGACGAGCCGCTCATCCCGTCGCGCGAGGCGTTCGTCGCGCCGACGGCGTCGGGCAAGCACAAGTGGTGAGCGCTGCGCCAGCTCGTCGTGGTCGAGGCGGGACCGTGCGGGAGATGTTCTGAGGGAGGGCGCCAGTAGAAGCGCGCCTGCTTGAGTTGTTCTTTGCAAGCACTTTGACGTGACTCTCCTGGCCCGAGCACAGAGAGGGCGAGCCAGCCGGATTCGCAGCTCTCCTCGGCGCAGACGAGCGGACGGCGGCGTGAGCGTCGGTCCTCTGCTCGTACCTCGCCTAGCTGCCTCAGTCGCCGGCACAGCTGCGAGATCTATTCGCTCTCGACCCCGTCAGGCCCACCTGCGCTCGCCACACGCGTCCTCGCCCGCACCTGCGCGTCAAGCTCCCCCACCTCGCTCGACCACGAGGACCGCGGCGTCAAGCTCGCGACACAGCTCGAGCGAGAGCACAGCAGCTCTCACAGGACTACCAGTCACCATGTGCGTCCCCTGTCACAGTCCCCCAAGCCGTCGTCGAGGCCGCCCTGCCTCGCTCGCGCGCGGGGTGGGTGCTGTCATCGCTCCGAGCTGTACTCGGCCCGCGACGACGTCCGAGGACTGACACGCTCGAGCGATACACTCCTGCGCAGGGCACCGACCATCCTCGACTACCATTCGGACTGCCAGACGTTCGCCCTCTCGATCTCGCCCCTCTCGACCTCGTCCGCCTCGTCCCTCAAGCTCGCAGTCGGGTCCTACTCCGAGGCGCGCGCCCCTTCCTCGACCTCGACCTCGTCGTCTTCATCTACCGCGGCCAACGGCGGCATCAACGGCGCACCTCCCCAGCATCAGCAGGGCGGCAACAACTTCACGGTCGCCGCCCCCTCTCCCGCCGTCGCCGACCTCGACGACGCGTCCGACTCCGAATCCGAGACGGCGTACCGCTCGCGCTCGACCCGACAGCGTGTCCCCGCCGGCGGGTCGGCCCTGAGCCCGATCGCGCGCGCCGCGCTCCTGTACCCGCCGAGCGCTGTCCGGTTTGCGCCCGCGCGCCTGTCGAGCTCGTTGGCGTCGGCGCAGGGCGACGGGACCGAGCGCGAGGTGCTCGCGACGAGCACCGAGTGCCTGCGGCTGTGGGACTTGGTCGGCGAGCAGGACGACGGGTCGGCGGCGCGGCAAGGCGGTGGGTTCGTCGGTCAGGGGCAGGCGCACAGCAGGAGCAAGCTCGTCAGCCGGGCAACGCTGCAGAATGTGCGTCACTTCTCTCTCTCCCCGGCACCGTGTCGTTCATGCGGCGAGTACTGACGGTCGAGACTGGGATCCTGCAGGCCAAGGCCGACTTCTCGGCGCCGTTGACGGGCTTCTCGTGGTCGGAGCTCGAGCCGACCAAGATCGTCACGTCGTCCATAGACACTGTGCGTCCCTCTCGTCCTGTCTCGTCCCTCCTCGAGATCCTCAGCAGCGACTGACCCTCTCGAGCGCCCGACTCGCAGACGTGCACCGTGTGGGACATCTCGACGGGCGTCCCCGTGACGCAGCTCATCGCGCACGACCGCGAGGTGTACGACGTCGCATGGTCGCCGGCGTCGCGCGACATCTTTGCGTCGGTCGGCGCCGACGGGAGCGTGCGCATGTTCGACCTGCGCTCGCTCGAGCACTCGACGATCCTGTACGAGGCGGGCCCGGCGTCGCAGTCGGGCGGCAGCAGCAGCGGCGGCGGTGGCGGCGGCAACGGTGCAGCAGGAGGAGGCGCGAGCGCGACGAGCCCGCCGCCGAGCACGACGCCGGCGCCGCTGCTCCGGCTCGCGTTTTCGCCGACGAGCCCGACCTACGTCGCCGTCGTGCACGCCGACAGCGCCGACGTGCAGATCCTCGACACGCGCAACCCGGGCGCGCCGGCGTTCGAGGTGCGCGGCCACCGGGCGGCGGTCAACGGGCTCGCGTGGGGAGGAGGGGTCGGGGCCGGGCAGGGCGGCGAGACGAGCGGGCCTGGGTGGCTCGCGACTGTCGGTGCGTCGGCTCTTCCTCGTTCTCTGTCACTGCCTCTGTCGAGTACCTTGAAGCGACGGCCCTGACCGTGCCTCTTGCTCGCAGGCGACGACGCCAACCTGCTCCTGTGGGACCTGTCGCACGCGCAACCGCCTCAACCTCCGTCCCGGTCGGTCCCGCAGCAGCCCAAGGTGTTCAGCTCGCCGACGCTGGCCTACACGGCGCCGAGCGAGGTCAACGCGGTCGCGTGGGGCGGCGGAGGCGACTGGTTGGCGCTCGGCTGCGGCAAGACGGCGAGGCTGGTGCGGTGCGTCGCCCTCTTTCTCTCTCTTGCTCTCTCTTCCCTCTCTCGTCCTCCTCCTCGAGGTCGTTACTGATGGTGCGCTCGAGCGGACGCAGGGTCTGAGCAGTGCGAGGGTTCGTCTTGAGTAGGACGCGAGGGGGCGGTCGCAGTGGAATACAAGTCGAGGTTGCGCAAGGCTCACCCGAGAGTTATAGGAAGGGCGATTAGCGAGAGACGCCGGGCGTTGAAAGGGAGAGCGTCGGCGCCTCGTCGTCGCTGGTGCTGCTGCCTCGTCGCTCCCCACCTCGAACCCTCATCCCCTCGACCACTGTCACCATGAGCGACGTGTGCGCCTGCCCTTCCTCTCTGCCTCGAGTCTAGCGTGGTGCCCACCGTGGCACCGCAGCTTGTCGAGGGCCTGTCGCCGCCGCCTGCGGGCCACCCTGACACTGACGCACCCTCGTCCCCTCGCCCCGCCCCTCCCGCACCCGCTGGGACGATGCACGCAGCACCTTTGCCGAGCACTGCCCGGTGCGCCCACTCTCACCCCTGCCCCATCCCCTCTCGAGGTCGACGAGCCGAGCGCTGACCCCTCCTCCGCCCCTCCCCCCTCCCTCTCCCCGTCTCTCCGATCTCGCCCTCGCCGCTCGCCCGAACAGATCTATGCCCCCTTCTTTGGCGCCATGTGAGCACTCGCAGCCCTGCAGCACCGCCGCGTCGCCTGCGCGAGAGGGGGGAACTGACTCGCCCACCTGGTGGTGCTCGCTCGTTCGCAGGGGCTGCACGGCCGCCATCGTCTTCACCTGTGCGTCCACGCCACCCTTCCTCTCCTCACAGAGCCGCTACTGACCAGCCTCGTGTCTCTCCCCTACCCGCTCGTCCCCCTCGCCTCTCCTCGCTCGCCCCTCGCCCCCTCTCGACCCTCCCCTCGCGCTCGCGCCCTTGTTCACCTCGACCCCGTCTCGCCTCGTCTGCCGCGCTCTCGCGACCGCGACAGGCCTCGGTGCGTCGTACGGCACGGCCAAGTCGGGCGTCGGTATCGCCGCCATGGGTGTCCTCCGGCCCGACCTCATGATGAAGTGCATCATCCCCGTCGTCATGGCTGGTATCATTGCCGTGCGTCCCACTCCTTCTCTCGCCGAGTCGGGTCGAGGGCAGCGCTCATCCACCGTGCGCGCCCCCTACGCAGATCTACGGCCTCGTCGTCTCGGTCCTCATCTCGGGCGGCCTCGAGTCGCCCATGGCGCTCTACTCGGGCTTCATCCAGCTCGGCGCCGGCCTCTCGGTCGGTCTCGCCGGCCTGAGCGCAGGCTTTGCCATCGGCATCGTCGGCGACGCCGGTGTCCGGGGTGTCGCTCAGCAGGGTCGTGTCTTCGTTGGCATGGTGCGTCCCTCTCTCGCCTCTTTACCTCCAAAGTGACGGTCATTGACGGTGTCCGTACTCTCTACAGGTCCTGTGCGTCGCCTCGTCCCTTCTCGAGTCGTCTATCCCGCCCGCAGGCCGTGACTGACCTTCGTCGCCCTCGCCCGACCTGCAGCATCCTCATTTTCGCCGAGGTCCTCGGACTGTACGGCCTCATCGTCGCACTAATCCTCAACACGCGCGCTGCCGAGACCCCCGGCGTGAGTCCTCTCGCAGTTGCGCCTCTCGAGCCGCGAGCGCCGAGGTCCGCGTCCTGCGGCCCTCGCGTTCTCGTCGAAAGCCAGGAGCAGCGACTGACACACGTCGTCTCGCAGTGCTAAACGTCGAGCCACGTCCTCCTCGACGAGCGAGGGCTCGGTGCGCCCTCCCCTCGCCACCGTACTCTCGCACCTCCTCCGTCCACCCACCTCCCGCTCGACCACCTCTCGCCGCCCCACACGCCCGCCTTGTTCAGTCCCCCTCCTCACACGATGCTCCCTTCCTCGTCTTTGTCTCGCGTCCTACTTTACTGCCTGCCCCGTCCCTCTGTCCCGTCTGCAAAGAAAGGCGGGGTTCGTCGTGCACCTGTCGAGGGCGGAGAGCCAGGCAGAGTTGCGCCTCGCCTCCTCGAGAGTGTGCTCCGCGAGACGAGCAGGTACGACCCGCAAAAAGATAGCGAGCGCCGCCGCCGCCGCCGTCGGATCCATGCGGCCAGCAATTCGCTCGCTTCGGCCCCCTCACCTCGCGGCGAACCCTCTGTCGAGCGCGACGACCCGACCAGACCGCGCAGCAGCACCTTGCAGCAGCCCGCGCCCAAGAGCACGCCCGCCCGAGGCCGCCTTTGCCCTCATCGCCGTCCCTCCCTCCCCCCGCCTCCTCACGACGCCTCTCACCCATGACGTCGAGCACGCCCGCGCTGGCCATGTCGCCCGACGAGTCGCACCTTCTCGACCAGACGACGACGCACGAGCGCGTCCTCCTCGCGCAGGCCGTGTTCGAGAAGGGCTCGGACGACTGGGAGGCGGTCGGGCGGCTGCTGAGGGGACACGCCCTGCTCAAGGCGAGGACAGACGAGTGGTTCACGGCTCAGGTGCGCTCGAGAGCTGCCCCCTGAGCCCCATCCAGCCGAGGAGGCGCTCACTCTCTCCTCCTCGACCCGCCGCAGCATCTCGCGAGGACTTTCGGCGTCCTCCTCCAGCACGTCGGCGTCGAACCGTGCGCCCACCTTCTCCATCTACTCCTCATGCCCGCACTCACACCTTCCTTCACACAGCGCGACCGCCTTCCCGCCTCAGTGTCCGTCCTCCTCTTCTCCCCCACCCCTCCCTCTCTCCAACCGGCTCACCCTCTCTCGCCGCCCGCCGAAACAGCTCCCGAGGTGCGCAAGATCGCGCACAAGTACTACATGGACCGCGTGCACGAGCTGTATCAGGCCATGGAGGCGTGCCAAGACCAGTTCCGGTGCGTCGTCCGCTTCCCCTTTCTTCCGTTGGGCGTGCGGCACGCGCAAGCGGGCTGCCGCCCTCGATACGTATGCACGCGGCGACGTACTGACACCTGCTTGTCTACCGCAGCATCATGTACTCGGAGATCCAGGAGCTCAAGGACGGCAAGCTCGACTGGCGCCTCACGCACCCCGAGCGCGCCCTCCCGCCGTCGCCCGTACGAGGCCAGCAGGCGCTCCCTTGATCCACGTCGACCTCGATGCTCTCGTTCCTAATCGGCGACCGACCGCCCGGCGCCTGCCACGTGCGCCCGCCGCGCCCAACAGCTCGACCACGTCAGCTCGCTGCGCCCGTCCGGCCGCCTCGTCTCGAGCCGCATGCCTCTCTGCCGTTGCTCACACGCACTCAGCGTCGCGATCGAGGTCTCGCGGGACTGACTGTGCGCGACGAGGGCCGGTCCGCCGGCGGTCAAAGCGCGAGTCGAGGATGAGCGAGCCGATCGAGCAGATTGGGGTCCTCCTTGTGCAGCTCTGCAACGATGCGGCGTTCCTCCGGCCAAAGTGTCTCTCGCTTGTCGTCATAGCGAGGAAAGCTCGAGAGATCCGGCGTGCGCTCGATCGTGCTCGACGAGAGCAGGACGTGGACGAGCGGACAGGCGCGAGCGCTCGCGCCGCTCGAGGCCGGCGCTGGCTCTCCTCTGCTCGTGCAGAGGTCGAGCGTTGCGCTGGTCGTAGAGCGCATAGGCGCACGTCGAGCAACGAGCAGCAAAGAGGAGAATGCGCAAGCAGGAGGGCGCCGACGCGCAAGAGGACGAGGCGGGGACGATGACCCTCGCCTGCAGCGCCGCTCGGCCGAACAGCTTGATCGACGGCAAGCGCGTCCTCGAGCGACGATGCGCGAGCCGCGCGAGGGCAAGGCTCGGCGTGTGAGGGTCGACGACGAGCCGGAACGTGCAGGCGAACGTGGGCGTGTCGAAAGGCAGCGAGAGGCAAGCCCGTCCCGCCCTGCGGCGACCGCTAGCGGCATCGCGTCGACCGCCAAAGACGCTGAAGCACGTGGCACTCTGCGCTCGAGCGGCGAACTGCTGGACGAGGCGGGTCCACAGGGCGAGGAGGAGAAGCGGGTCTGCGCTGCAGCCCACGCAGCACCGGGCAGCGTGAAACTCGATCAGCTGCTCATGAGAGCCTGCTGCAAGCTCTGGACGCGAGGAAAGCGCGACTCGAGCGGTGTGTAGCAGCGCGAAGGCGAGGTCAAGAGGAGAGGAGGGGAAGGGTGGCTTGTCCGAGTCCACCACCCTTCGCCCTGCACCCGCTGCACGGAGCGACCCACTTCAAGCACAGCACTGTCGCCAGAGCAACCCTCGGCGCACCCGCGCACACGGCTCGTCCCGAGCGAGCTCGCTCGACTCGCCCTCGCCAAGCACCCGGCCGACGCGAGCCACAACGTCCAACACGGCCATTGAGGGCAGGACAAGGTGCGCACCCTCTCCCTGGCGTGTCATTCTCCCCCCTGCGCCCTCGAAGTGCGCCTCGAGCCGTGCACAAGCCGGGCTTAGTGGCGGCCGTCACCGCCTCGTTCGACGGCGGGCGCGTTGGCGCTTCGCTACAGCAGCGGGGCCGCTGTACGGAGGGACAGTGCAGCGGGAATGGGTTCGAGGGCACCTTGCACGCACCACCGGCGGTGCGGCGAGTCGCGATACGGCCCACACCGTCGCCCTGATCTCGAGGCCGGACCGCTGACCTGAGCGGCCGCACGCCTCGTGCGCGCCTTTCCCTCCCTTGCAGGTCGTCGACAAGATGGCCAACAACGAGCCTCACACGGCCTCGGCGCCGCCAGTGCCCTCGTCGTCGAGCAGTACCCCCTCCCCCGCCGCCCTCTCCCGAGCCCTTTCCGACCTCGCCCTCGTCCACGCGACCCCTCCTGCACACCCTGAACCTCCCTCGCCACGAACACGTTCGCCACGAGCCGCCTCGCCTACGTCCTCGGCCGCGGCATCGTCTTTCGGCAGCTCGATCTTCGACCGCCCGCCCGTCTCGTCGCGCTCGACCCGCGACAGCACCCTCACGTCGCTGCACCGGCACCCGTCCCAAGTGGGCCCGTCGAGCGCTCTGGCGTCCGCGATGGGACCGCCGGGCGGTGGAGGCAGGAAGGCGAGCGTCAGCCTCCAGCTGTTCAAGGAGACGGCGCGAGCGGGCGAGGGCGGCGAGACGGCTGGCGAGGGACGACGGGCTGCCGCTCGGCCTTCGCCGAGCAAGTCACGGCACCCGTCGTCGAGCTCGTCGGTCAAGGGCAAGGAGCGCGAGCGCGAGCACACGGTCACGCTCCCCGTCGGCGACGGGTACCTCACGTTCTCGTCGCCCTCGCCTCGCCCGACGCGACCATCTTTGCGCCAGTCCCGAC